TATGACATGTGCAGTAGCTCTATGAGAAAGTTAGAAATACCATGAGAAATACCATGTGACCACAGAGAAACAAAGTGACCACAGAACTGTTGGTAAAACGGTGCCAAGAGCCTTGACGCAGGGTTTCCATAAAACTTCCATTTGTAAACACCACCACGTCTGTGAAGCACAGTAACACAAGGTGTAGACCTGCATCTAAGTTTGCTGCAAGACAAAGCCAGTCGAATGGCAATGAACAACACTCATGAAGGCTGTTATGAGAAATGAACGTTTTCTTGAAAACCATTTATGTAAATACATATTACATTATATTATCAGCTGAAACCAGATTAAAAGGCTGGAATTTTATTAGTGTATTTTGATGCTTCTATTGCATGTGTATGAAATGAAGATTTTGAATGCCTGGAGATATTTTATGGGAAATAGACTTTTCCTTTTAATATAACAATTGTAGGTTAGGAAAGCATTTTGGTTATGAGCAATACAAAAGTAAATTGTAAAATAGCGTGGTACTCAAATATAAAAAGATCCTGTGTCTACGCTCTCTGATAATCTGGTTATACCCTACAATATGTTTCATTTTTGGCTTGTGCGTTTCCCAGTAGGTCCATTCCAATGATGTGGTTGCTGTCCTGTGTCACTGAGTCAGTTCTTCCTCAAAAGGACCCAGGCACAACCCAGTGAACATTGCCCGCCCCGCCCCATCCTTACAGTCCTGATTACGTTTGAGCCCACCGTGGGGCAGCCGTCGCGCCCGTCCATCTCACTGAACGCCTGCCTTTACTCGCTGACCCTCGACCCTCTACTTGACCAAGCAAGATGCCCTTCACTAGGGACTGGTTCCTCGGGAAAACGGGTCCAAAGTATGTGAGACAGAGGCTCACCATCTTTGTGTCTCCGGCACATTCTTCCAGAATAGATTTGGTCATTCTCTGGTAGGTCCTGGTATACTCACTGTTCTCTGCCAACACAGTTATTCCAAGATGTGGGTCTCACCTGTTCATTGCCCGTCTTTCCCATGCAGAGGAGGCAATTTAAAATACTAAGGCTTAGGTCAGGTTGCCTCGGTCTTCAAAGTGATGTCTTTGTAACAGTGTGGAGAGAGCATTAGCTTGCAGCAGTTCTCACCAATGCAGTACATTGCTTTTGTCATAGCCCCCCTGCCCCTGCCACTTAGGGACTCAAGTAAAATGAAATCCTTGATAACTTCAGCATTGTTTCCATTTATTGTGGTATCACTTACTGGTCCAGTTGTAAGGATTTTTGTTTTATGTGGAGGTGTAATCTATATTGAAGGTTGTAGCCTTCAATGTTCTTTTTCTTTTTTTAACAATAGATTTCAAAATGAGACCACTTGCTTCTATTTACATTCAAATGAAAGCACGGTAGGCTCCCGTATCACCTCTACCCTACACCCAGGGAGGTGTGTGGAAACTCAGATTTTCTGTTCAGATTTTCTTTTTCTAAATCAGCTTATTGGGGGCTTTTACAGCTCTTATCACAGTCTGCACATGCCTCCTTTATGTCAAGCACATTTGCACATATGTTGCCGCCATCACTTTCAAAACATTTTCTTTCTACTTGAGTCCTTGGTATCAGCTCATTTCCACCCTCCCTCATGAACCCTTGATAATTTATAAAAAAAAACATTTTTCATGTCTTACATGGACTGCTGTCTCCCTTCATCTACTTTTCTGTTGTCTGCCCCCTGGGAGGGGGTTATATGTCGATCATTGTGATTGGTTACCCCTTTCTCCCTTCACTTTCCCCTCACCCTCCTGGTAGACACTATATGTTTTGCTTGCTGAGCACCATCCACTCTCTTCACCACATTTGATTATGCACCCATTTTGTCTTCAGTGATCGTGTGGGGAAGGTGAGGATCACAGAATGCCGGGTTATTAAAGTGTTCTTGCGTTGAGGGAGGACTTGAGTTAGAGGCATCCAATGTCCATCTGCTACCTTAAGCCTCCAATTTTCATCAGTAAGTGCTTCAGGTCTTCTCTTTCAGCAAACAAGTTGTGTTATCTGTGTATTGCAGGTTAATGAGCCTTCCTCCAATCCCGATTCCATGTTTTTCTTCATCGAGTCCAACTTCTTGGATTATGTGCTCAGAGTACAGATAGAATAACTACGGTGAGAGGCTACAACTCTGACACACACACACACACACACACACACACACACACACACTTTCTGATTTTAAACCATGCAATAGCCCCTCAATACCCTTTATTTCATCCTGCAACTCATCTGGCCTTCAGCCATTCAGGTTCAGTGCATCAGATCTTTTTTTGACATAGTCTTTAACTTTAGGTGGGATATAATCGAGGACATACTTGACCCTTATTGACTTGTTTTAATTTTCTTCAGCATCAGCTTGAAGTTGCTTGTGGACAATTGATGATCTGTTCCTCAGTTGACCCTGGCCTAATTTTGACTGATGATAGCATTTCTGTTGTCCCTTTCCATCAATATAGTCTATTGGAATCCTATGTCTTCCACACAACACGTCCCATGTGGATAATCCCTATTTATGGTGTTGAAAAATTTTTCACTAAATCATTGGTCATACATCATGCGATCTCTAGGGTGGGTTCTTTCCCCAAGGACCTTGTTTTCCAATTGCAGATCCTCCCAACTTTCACCTTCCAACTACCGGTAATTATCATTGCATTCTTCATTGCATATTTGATCAATTGCAGAGTTCCGGAGTTCATAGAAATATTTAATGTCTTCATCTTGGCATTAGTGGTTGTTGTGCAAGTTTGATTAATAGTTGTATTAGCTGGTCTTCCTATGGATATTATCAGTGACAGAGTGGTACCGCAGGATAGATCTTGAGATGGTTTTTAATAGTGGATATAAAGCCATTCCTCAAGTTTGTCATAATAGCAGACTTTATGATTGTTCCATTTTTCAAAATGGCTAATACAGATCCAGTTCAACTCACTCATGCCTACCATATCAATCTGTACATGTTTAATTTCATGTTTAATGTTGAATTACAACTAGTTTTCCTAGATTCCTACTTTGTGCATTCCACACTGAAGTTGCTTATGGCCAACTGTTGGTCTGTTCCTCAGCTGACTCTGGCCTAATTTTGGCTGACGATACTGAGCATTCTGATGGAGGGCATTTGCTACGGTGTCTTCTCATTTTGAGCTGTAACACATTAGCAAATGAAGCTTTGTGCCATCCACATCATGTGCCATCCACGTCATTAAGGTTGACTCTGCCTTGAGAAGGTAGCTTTTCCCTGGTCATATTTACAGCGTCTTCCAACCTGAGCGGTCCATCTTTTTGCATTGTTCCATGCCGACTCATGAGGTAGTCACTGGCCATTTTTCGCCCCCAGAAGTAGATTTCTAGATCTTCCTTGCTAGTCTATCTTAGTCTGGAAGCTCTCCTAGAATGTGCCCTCTATGAGTGACAACACTGGGATTTGAAAGACCAGTAACTTAGCTTCCAACATCACAGCCACTTCCAAGCTAGGAGCTTATAACTAGCTGAGAGTGGTAGACCAAGCAATAAGAACTTAAATTCAACCTTGTTGGGTGATATGGCGACATATGCCGCAATACTCCTAGGGTTTTTGTTGATAACCAAAAAACGCATTAATTAAGCATTTGAATCTTCATCTTTAAAGGATCAAATTATGCCATCAAGAGGGAAAAGGTTAGCAGATTAATACTTAGCTCCCATCATACTAAAATCAGATTGATAATCTTCTAGGGAGTTGGGTGCAAGGGTGGGAATAACCTTTCCAAACAAGGTTCACAGCAGCAGATGATTAAGGAGGACCCTGGTCGTGGACTGGGTTACAGTTGGGCTGTTAACCCCAAGGTCAGCAGTTGGAACCCACCAGCTTCTCTGCAGGAGAAAGAGGAGACTTTCTGCTCCCATAGAGATTGAGAGTGTCGGAAACCTATAGGAACAGTCTTCCTCTGTATATGAAAATATTACCCCGAGTCGGAATGGACTCAATAGCTGTGAGGTGATTAAGGAAAAGGTAAGGAGTAAATTCAGGCTGATTGGAAAGGTAGATGACTATGTGCATGTGCATTCTGTTCTGTTACTGACCTTTATTAGCCAAGTATCTGTGTTTGATGGTCACCGTGGTATCTGAGAGGCTGGTTCTCTTCCTCTGTTTTATTTAGTGACAAGTTGTATGACAGGCCCTTGGTAGACATTGCCATCTCGGGCAGAGAACGATAACCACAGACTCCTTGGCTTGGGTATCACGACATAGTTACCACCACACACAGCATGAGATCCAACCAAGAGAATCTGTGCAGTGTGTGTTTGCCTTGGGGCTGCCTCTCGGTCTGGAGCCACTGCAGTGTTGACTACTATTTCATATGTTCTTGACCCCAGTCAGTACGTGGCTGAAAAATCCTCTGGCCGAGATGGCAGGCTGGAAGGCTCCACTCCATAAGTCAACAGCCCATTCCACTCTCTCTCCACTATCTCTTAGAGAGAGTCGGTTGCTATCGAGTCTACTCCAACTCGTGTTGGGCCACTGGTTGCTCATCACATGGCTTTCAATGACTATACAGCCATCCTTCGTCCATTTCTCATAGTCTGCATAGCCGACGTCATGATTGTTCCATATTAGTTCAGGCATGACTGTCATCAGGCTGGAGTTTTGGATGAAGATCGCTAGGCCTTTCTTCAGAAATGCCTCTGGGTGGACCCGAACCTCCAACCTCTCTGTTCCCAGCCAAGCTGTTTGTACCACACCCTGATGCCGCCCCCCCTGCCAGCCATGCATGTTGGTACCTTCTCCTTGGTTTAGCATAGGAAGGGCCCTTCCTGCCCAGCCCTGTGGTGGCCACCTGGGTTACAGAATGACCAGTCCTGTTGGAAACACTCTCCACTTATCGCATCAACATCGCATTTGGAAGATAATTGCTATCTTCCAAACTGGGGTTATCTCCTAGTGTTGGCATACGCCAACTAGAAAGTGAAACCAATGAGCTCTCTCCCTTTGCCTGCAGGATACACTGGCTATCAGCACCACGTCCCGCCGGGCAGGCCAGGCGCCTTTGATGCCTCCCCCAGGAACTACGATGCCTACACAGCAGGGCTGAGTGAGCAGGAACAGCTGGAGAGGGCATTAAGAGCCAGCCTCCAAGACCGAGGTAGGAACTATGCGCCTTAAGTTTTAAAAGCCAATCTCCCGTGAGGAGGTGGTCTGAAAAGGGAGCATTCGTAGCCCACGAAACTTTACATAGTTTCTAAAAAAGGACGTGCAGGTGAAAAAAAAGTGTGTGGATTGTGATTTGAAAGAATGGGGCGTGATACCATTCTCCTAGCAGCCTAAGCTAATAAGGTGCCAGACATGTCTGTGTTGTTAAAGTGGGTCTTTTTATAGGCCTGCTGCACTCAGTGCTGTGACATTAAAGTGAAGAAACTTAAAAAATAAAATAAAATACATTGTGTGTGCCGATGGTAAAAGCCGTCTTCATTGGGGTCCATATCTGTAGCACAGGCTGCATGTCTGTTACGCTGTGTGCCAGTGTGACCCATAAACCACTCACCTCACAATCACACCAACAGCAAGAATTCCAACTCAGGGTCAACATGTTATCAGCTCATCCAACCCATAACCTATATATAACTTTCCTTAGGGAAAAGACTAAAAATAATAAAGACCTTTCCCAAAAATGCCCTTTTTAGGAGGCAGGGCGGATTTCTCACAGTTAAGAAGACAGTCACAAAGCCTTGCAAAGAAAATAGAAGGGTCAGCAATATAAACAATTTGTGAAGCCACTTTCTTTGCTAGGGGCCAAGCCTTTTCATGTAGCTCAAGGAGTCTGTTTGTACCTGTCTCCTTGGAACTAGTTCCACATGCTCTTGAACCCACTGATTGAACAAAGTGTCATTGTCGAGCGTGTCCACTGCTCCTGGCCCTTCAGTCAGCCTTGGCCTGGGCCTGGAGAAGCTCTGTTAACCAGGCTCCGTGCACATTTGGGACACCTTGATTTGGAGACTTGACTCCGCTACCATAATGGCAAGGGCGAAGTCCCTCTGCATCCCAGGTAGCACTTTGTGTTCCAGAGTCTGCTCATCGGATAGTAACAGAGATTTCAGTTTTCCTTTAATGAGGGGTTGCAGGGTGTATTTCTTCCACCTTCGGCGAAAAGAAAGAAACCCGCTCGTGGCTTATATTTAAAGGAGATTTCCTGTAAATAGCATATACTTGGGTCATCCTTCTCCATGAAGAGCTCTGGGACTCTCTGTACTTTTCTTTTTCTGTTCGACTCTCCCTCCCCACCCTGCTATAAACACAGTAAACATTTGTGTTGTCTGTCTTAACCTACATCCACACTTGCTGGCTTTCTCGATGGCTGTATCCGGTGTACTGATGACCCAATGACGGTGTCTTCAGCTCGGTCACTTTTCCTTTGGTTTCCACTTGATTCTTAGAGTTTCTTTGTCTCTACCGAAATTACTCATCTTAACCTTACACGTCCACCTTTTTCATTCAAGCCGCAAATAATACAATTGTGCTACACATTTCGTGATCTGTTAGTTCTACAGTCTATACAAAGTCCGCGTGTGATTCTGTTGATCCCATTGTCTCTTGGCAGTGCGTAACTTGCTTTTTCATATGCCTTATAATATTTTGTTGAAAGCCAACACCTCATAGAGTCCAGGAGAGATGGAAGCAAATCTTTGGCATCCTGGAAACGGGCACACCTTGCCTTTGGCTGGCTCTAGTGTGCCTGTTTGAGTTGGTAGAGCCAGGGCCTGGTCTCCTTGGGGGCTTTGCTGTTGCTATGGTTATATCCCGAGTTCCCTGCAGGCTTCCAATGCCATGTGTAGGGAAGGGGCTGGTTGGACGTTCTTCCTGTCTTCTGTGTTGTGACTTGGGAAGTCTCTCCCTCCGCTATCTTGTCCCTCTTCCAGCAGGGTCCAAGCTGTTCCTTGTTGCTCCGAGCTTGTAAAAGTGGCCTTTCTTCTGCTCTAAGCTGCAGTGGGTGTTTGCCTGTAGCATGGAGGCAGGGTCTCAGACCTCTCCCCCTGGGGCTGCTGTCTTCCCCTTGGGGCTGGACTGTAGAGGGCGCTCAATTGGGCCTCATGCCCCGTGCTTTGGTGAGGCCCAGGTGAGGTCCTGAGAAGAGACTTCTGGGGTGGTGGGGGTGGTGAATGCCCCTTTGTCTGCCACCCCAGGTGTTGGCATGTACTCCTGCTAGCCACTTCTGAGCTTGTATCCGCTGGTGCCTTAACAGTTCTGGCAGAATTCTCTCCTGGTGGCCAGCCATCTCCCCTAGATGAGCAGGGGCTCAGGCACCATTGTGCCTGCAGACCCCCATCTTTCCTTTGATGTCACTGTAGGTGGCCGCTGTCTGCTCTCACAGTGATCTGGTGCTTCAGGAAAAGTCATGAATTTGCAGATTGTCGTCCAGCATTTCCTTTTGTTGTAAGGGCTGGGTGGATGCTCTTTCTGACTTCCTACACCCTCAGGTGAAGGGACATCATGCTTGGTAGAGGGGCAGCAAAAGGCAGGAAGGCCCTCAAGGAGATGGATGGACACAGTGGCTGCAACAATGGGATCAGGCATGGGAACAACTGTAAGGACTGGGCACTGTTTCGTTCTGTTGTGTGCAGGGTCCCTATGGATCGAACCGACCCAGTGGCACCAAGACTTACAGCAAAGTAGAAGCTGAGAGCATCCCTGGTTCTTCATGTTCTTGTTTACTCCTTTATGGACATTTTTCTGCAGAGAGGCGCTGTCCCTCACGAAATGGGTAGAAACTATAGTTTCCCCTGCAAAGCCTTTACACATACTTAGTTCTTTCCCATTGGTCAGTCCCCATGTTCAGCCTAAGGAGCCAATGTAGTAGTCACTAATAATACTGAGTTTTGAAAGAGCCAGCTAGCAAATGTGTTTGGTGGAATGCCTGTTTGGCAAGAGAACACCCAGCCTCAATTTGTTCCCATTCCTCCTCCTTCTGTGAAGCATATTCAAAGAGTAAATCAAGGAACCAAGGTAGCACTCTCTAGCCTCAGAATTGGCCGCGCTCTCATATTTTTTTTAAAAACAAAGCCTGGCCGTAATTACAAGTCCTAGGGCTCATGCCAGGACCGATCGCCAAGTAGCCTTTTGTAGAAGAAACACTGAAACCCCTATGATTTCCAGGGGCTTGAGCATTTACTACTGCTAACAGAAATTCCGCCTTCTGCGGTTGGCAGCCTCAGCTGTGATAAACAGGCTGAGGAGGCAGCTGATACCACACTCGTGGGAAAATGTGGGACAAGTGCCATCTCTTTCTCTCGAGTCAAAAGGCAGATGCCAGCTAGGAGCACGGGCTCGTCGCATGTCTCCCCCCACGTCCTTTTGTGCATGAGTCCTGCCTCTTTGCTTTAAAGAGACCGCCATCAAGTTCACCTGGTGCTGGGCATGAAGCTGTGTCCTCCTCTTCTGTCTGCCAGCCAGGAGCACGTGCCCTCATTGACACGGAAGGCCGTAGTGATGTGGGAGTAACTGGGCTTCTTTTCCTCCACTGCCCTGAAAGGCCAATGGCCACTACCACACTGGGGCTCCCTTGTGACAGTCAAGTGGCACTGTCATTACCCATGCCCCCTACCCACAATTGTATGTGCAGGGTTGCTGTACAGCCATAGGTGAGATTTGGGGGAGCAGACTCCAGTGTCGTGGCTTGAGAATGAAGCTGACTGCTGCCTTGTCCTCCTGTCTTTAGTTGTGAAAGTAGCAGGGAAGCCAGGTCAGGAGAGATCAAAACAAACAAACAAAATAAAAGGTAAAATAGACATTAGGTCCTGAATTACTATCGAGTACTTTTCTTGACAGATCATCCGACAGTGTCTTTGAATCCCCTTGACGGGCATCGTGCCTTCAAAGGGACCCACTGAGATGCAGTTGAAGTTTTAAAAAGAAAAGACAATTTAATTGGACGACGTCTACATTTCCCTTTCCACCAGAGTGCTCTCAGGTGCCGCAGGAAGGCCTCTGCCTCGGGGCTTCACTGATGGGTGTAGGTTTACTCTTTGTTGACGGGAATAAACCGTATCCCATTCTTTCCATGTCTCCTGGTGTGGTGCAGAGATAACTACAGAAAGAGAGGGGAATTCTGGGTCTGCAGATCAGCCCTGGGAGGCCCATTATCTCACTTGACTTGCACTGCATCATGTCCCTGGGTCCTGACAGCCATAATTGTGTAATTATTTTTCTTTTTTTAATATAACGAAGAAGTTGAATGAGAAACTCATCAAGCCCCGTCCACTTCTCTGGTAAGGAACTGAGGAGGGGATGTAACTAGAGAGAAATGAGGAGTGAGGGAAATCTCAAGAACACTGTGGTGAGAAAAGAACTAGGAGGCAAAGGGTATTTATAGAGGTCAAAATACAGGCATGTACACATGTAAATATATTTATGATGATAGGGAAATAGATCATGTGCATCTATTTATAGGTTTAGTATTAAGGTCACAGATGGACATAGGGCCTCTACTCAAGTATTCCCTCAATGCAAGAACACTTTATTCTATTAAACTGGCATTCCATGATGCTCACCTTCCTGACACGATTGCTAAAGACAAAGTGGGTGCATAAGCAAATGTGGTAAAGAAAACTGATGGTGTCCGGCTATCAAAAGATATAGTGTCTGGGGTCTTAAAGGCTTGAAGACATACAAGTGGCCATCTAGCTAAGAAGCAATAAAGCCCACATGGAAGAAGCACACTAGCCTGTGTGATAGTGAGGTGTCGATAGGATCAGGTATCAGGCATCAAAGAACCAAAAATTATATCATTGTGAATGAAGTGGAATGCAGAATGGAGACTCAAAGCCCATCTGTAGGCAACTGGACATCCCCTTACAGAAGTGTCGTGGGGAGGAGACTAGCCAGTCAGGGTGCAGTATAGCACCGATGAAAAATACAAGTTTCCTCTAGTTCCTTAATGCTTTCCCTCCCCCCCCACACTATCATAATCCCAGTTTTACTATACAAGTCTGGCTAGACCAGAAGATGCACACTGGAATAGATCAGAGCTGGAAACACAGGGAATCCAGGACAGATAAACCCCTCAGGACCAATAATGAGAGTAGCGATACGAGGAGGGGAAGGGGAAGGTGGGGGAGATAGGGGGAACTGATTACAAGGATCTACATATAA